ATATATGGCGAACTTATATAGTATACAATTTTTGCTATTAAAATAGTATTGCCACATATATATATATGTATCTTTGTTCTTGTTAATATTTCTGTTAGGTATATTTCTAGAAGTGGGATTGTGTTTTCATCTATTAAATATTAAGGTTAATAGAGCAGTTGGTGTAGTGCCTTCTAGCTATCAAGAGAAAAAGAGGAATCCTATCTAAGAAGATCAGTGATGATTTATTAAGGAAGCCATCCTGTGCCTTCTAGCTAATTGAAGGGAATTATATTCTTAAAGAATTGCCCAATTACTTAAGGATTTTTTTTTAAATAAAAAACTTTATTATGGTGACATTGGTTAACAAAATCCAGAAAGTTTCAGGTGTACAATTTAACACAAAGGCATATATATATTGCATTATGTAGGATTTTTTTTTCGAGACTTTACACCAAATAACTTCAGATTAAATATTTTGTAAGACAGAACAAGAAACAAATGAGTCGAATTTTATATTTATAACAAACGTGACATTTCTATTTTTATTTTGCTTATTTTTTTTTATTAATGACAACTTATAGAAGTGAGGTAGTTTAAGGAAAAGAATAATTTGAAATGGGATTGGTGACAAGATGAGCTAATAAAAATAACGTATGATTTACAATTTTCATAGATGTAAAGGATCTGCTTACTAGTGTAGTTGATACTGGGCAGGTAGTATTTTCAGAAACATATTCTTCTGTCTCTGCCTCTTTTGCTCTACTCCCTGGAAGGAGGATGGTGTGTGTGATGCTTGTGAAATAGGCAGAAAGCAGCATGAAGGTAGCAGATGCCTGAATGGTGGGCAACTACTAGCTCTGCACTTACTAGTTTTGTGATCTTGGGCAAGCTAGTTAATCTGTGATACTTAGTTTCCTCATCTGAAAGCAATACTAACTACTGATTTACATGCAAACTAGATTGGATGTGATAATTTGTTTTATTATTTATTAATGTATTTATTTGAAAATTTATTTATTGTTCGAGCTGATACTAAAACACTTTATTGCTGATTTTAGTCATGAATTTGCATACCAGAAAATCAGAAGTGTGTGATACGTGGATGTTAATGGTTTTAAGAGCCTTTTTCGGCAGCTATTAGGATGCAAAATAATTCTCAAGAGGCTCTAAGGCACTGAGAAGTACCATGAAATTCTGAAGAAGTTAATATGCTTTTGGAAAGATCCATGTACTCAAAGGGAACACAGAACTCTGACATCCATAGCTAACTTTTTACAAATTTCTACTGTTTTTCCTTTCCTTCTAATCTATTTATTTATACTGAAATGTGCAGATTAAGCAGCTTTGTATTTATTTTCATCTTACTACTAATTTTATGTCAGTTACTTTGTGGCTGTTTAAGCAAAAAATTGATTTGATTGCTCTGTTTGTCATTTCTTCTTGTTTTAGGCAATGGGCCTCACCACGACCGTTGCTGTACTTATAATGAAAACAACTTGGTGGATGGTGTTTATTGTCTCCCAATAGGACACTGGATCGAGGCCACTGGGCACACGGACGAGATGAAGCACACAACAGACTTCTATTTTAATATTGCAGGCCACCAAGCCATGCATTATTCAAGGTAAAAATAGTGCTATGTTTATAAGTGTAGAAATAGGACAAGAGGTAGCATTAGGACAATGGCAAGTATTTACTATGTTCAAAACTGCAGTGTTTTCCTTCAGAGGGGTTTTAAGGTCTTCAGTTCTTTAAGGAGATAAATTACAGTGAATCACTGTGTGAGCTTTTCTGGTTCTAGATGTGAAGGATCCTTCATATAGAATTCTTTCTTTAAATACATACCCTGGCATACCAGACAGTAGTTAACCAATCTTTGTACTTAGTGGATTAAAAATAAAAACTGGATGCAAATATCCTATGTTGGTATTTGTATCTTTTCTCATACTGAGCAAAAGTGAAACAAAAAGGTGTCTCCTTATAAAATCTTATTTAAATAAACATGGGCAAAAATCTAGACATAAGTAGATTGGATGTGATCATTCACTCTATAATTTATTAATATATTCATTTTTATTTGTGTTTGTTTAATTATTATGTGAACAATGTAAGCCCTACTGAAAATTTAAACACAAGAAGATGCTAAATGAAAAGTAAAGTTCACTATTCTTTCCTTTATTCCCACTCATCAGACATAACTATATTTATTTTCCTGGAGGTTAAATCTAGGTCTTAAATAATATACATATATTTTGTTAATGTATTAATCCAAAAATAGCTATTAACTCCTCTCTATGACATGAAAAATTTAGCTCACTTATACTTGTCCTCTCTCTCCATTCTCAGTCCCTACCAGGCTCATTAAAAAATATATTTTTTGTTATTTAAAAATTTTATTTTTTGACCCATAAGTTTTTGTCAGTGACTCTTGATTTCCTACTGCATAAGATCAAAGATTTATTGCTCCTGTATTTTCCTCCACATCTACTTCCACCTGTTAACTCCTATTTTTCATTACTTTCACATTTTCAAGGTTTACAGAATTTACATTTAATTTAGTAAATAGAAATTGGTCTTTCACACTTTGATGATTTCAAATTTCAAACCAATATCCAACATATAAAATATTATATATATTATTTACTCTGGAACATTCAGTGTTTGTACCATAGACAAAGAGATGCATTCTCATGTTCTTAAAAACTGTATTGTTTTGAATGAGAGGGAATTAATACTAATAGGGTTGTGATGGTAGGAGAGAGAGAGAATGCAACTTCATCATCGTGTCAGGGAATCAATGTTTTCTTGGGCCTTCCTATAAATTCACACTAGATGTTGGTCTTGCAGATGGGTGGGAGGCAAAGCATGAGGAACAGATAAGCATGACTCATGGTTTTATGGTCCGGGCAACTGGATTAATGGTGTTACCATTTACTGAGATGAGGACTAAGAGATGAGCAAGTTGGCGTAGGGGTTGAGATAAAAATTTCATTTTAGACAAGTTACAATTGAAATGCATGTTAGAGTGTGGTAAAAAATCAATATGATATGTGAAGATTTGGAGAGTGGTTGAAAATGGAGAGAGAAAATAGGTGACACTCAAAGTGATGAATCTAGGTGAGATCATTTAGCAATTGAGTGCAATATAGAAAAGAAGTGAAAATACCACAATTTAGAGATTTAAGACAAGAGGATCCAGAGAAAATATCTCTGAGAAAGAGTATCCATTCAGATGCTCTGACGCTTAATAGGGATATCTATGGGCTATTTTTCATTTATCCTGAACCGCATTTACGGAACCTTTTTTTGTGAAAAGTCATGTCCTAGGCTGTAGGGCTTTGTTCTACTGTTTGACTGTTTCTTCCCCTTCATTGTCTTTGTTTTGTCAATAAAGACACTCCTTATATGGATGTTGGATTTTATGGATCTATATCCTATTCTAGACTTTTGAAAAACAATTTTCAGCTACTGGTTTTATTGCTTTACATTTTGTGATTACTTTATTTTTTTTCCAACTCAAATAATTTTTTCTCTAATTTTTGGTAATTGTTTTCTTAATTTTCATGGACTCTGACTTATTCTATTATTCCGTATTTGCATATTATTTTGTTTACTATGCAAAAGAATATTTTGTATTTTATATTATTTAATATTTATAAGTTAAATATTTAATCAACAATTTTATTTATCAATTATTAAATGTTATTTTATATTTTAATATTAAATATTGACTATTTAAATATTAGATTTCTTTCATCGTTTTTAGAATACTGTGGAGAATTATTGAAAAATTCTCACTTCTTACAGAACAACCTAGTTTCCTCCTGGATTAGTTGTTTTCTGCTCACTTGATCTTTCTCTTTTGTGATGTTAGTTTTTAAAATAACTGGTAATTCTTAGTTGTTTACGTTTGTTAGATGAAAGAGCAGGTTAATTATTAAATGTGGCTGGCATGAGTTTCCTCTGCCATTACTAGCTTCTATACCTATGAGAGTGTTGGTGTAAGCTGTGTGCAAATGAGCAGGGTATGTCTCCCTGTGTGGACCGGAAGCAGACAATCAGTTTGGCCATTCCTGCCACTACCCCGCCATTCCTGCCACTACCCCCCGACCCCAAATGAAAAGAGAAGGACCTGTGTGGGCACCTTCTTACTTAGACAGCCTTTGTTTCTCAAGTAAATATTTCAATTTTTAAAGACTTTAGTGCATAGAGACTGTAATTTCTGTATCTTGAAAAAGGCTTGTTGCCAATTAAACACTTTTCAAGAGACATAAATTAGACTTTATAAACATCACACTTATACTGTTTTGAAAACGTTACAGTTCAAAAAATGAAAAATCATGCTTAAACTTTCCAGTTCCTTTGGCTTCTAAAGAAAAGGTATACAATAATTTTCAAAACTCGAAATTATTTTAAACACTGTAGAATAATAATTTTGCACATTTTAAAATACTGTTTTATCTAGCACATTTTCCAAAATGAATGAAATTAATCACTTTGGAGAGAATGAGGGACTTGGATACCAGCCCAGCTCTCTCATTTATTGTTGGGTAACCTTGGGACAATCCTATAACGGTTCTAGATTTCAGTTTCCTGCTTTGCAAAGTGAGCTGGTTGAACTAGATGACTGCTAAAGTCAGTTCTGGGAATAAGCAAAGATAAAAGTTAATTTAAAAAAAAATTAGGCTTATGTGACATTTTGCTCATATGTTATTTTGGCCTAATAGTGACTACACATCATATCAGCTTCTCTAGTTTCAAATCCGGGGACCAATGTCTGCAATCTAGCTCTGCCTCTAGATAGTACTTTCCTTCATTTCTGTAGCTTAGGTTGTACATTCAGTCCAACTTTACAGAAGCTGTATTTGAAATACACATATTACAGTCAGTATACAAATAATCTTTAATATGTATGTATATTCTTCTTATATAATGATATTTTTAGGTTGCTCATATTTATAATCAAATTTTAACCAGAAATCTCTTTTGGAGTAAACAGAGAATAGCCATAAAATTCTATGTGCAATGGCACCAAATTATATTGCCCCGAACCCCTCCCCTCATACATCACAATCAAGAAGTTGTTGGCCAAAGGAAGAATCTGCTTTCAATTGGTAATTACGTCTGATTGAATGAGATTTTTCTAATAGTTAAAACCAAGACCATAACTGTTCCTGTTAGTGTAGGCAGGAAAGGAAAACACCAGGGTCTTTCTTGTTGAGTGCTTCTGATTGGCCAATGATTTTTATTGAGTATTAACTGACTGTGTGAGATTCCTTGAAGATTTCCTTTCCCTATATAAATAATGCTGTTTTTATAAGGTCAAGGTAATCGATGGATATCCTCTTTTCCTTATGATTAAAATACATATTTTTATATGAAACATTTAAATATATTAAATAAAATCAATTACATATTTCACATTATACATAATTATATTGAAATGATTAATTTTCAACATCACATCAAAAAGATTAGTGATAGATATTAACATTCTAATAGTAGTAATATGAACTAATACAATCACGCCCTTTAATTATTGTTTCTTAGGAGTCACTTAAAACATCTGCTAAAGTTTGTGGGAAAAACAGTTTTTGCTGATAGTACTGCTGTAGAATCAGTACAGTTATAAAGGAAGCAGTTGGGTTCTGTGCTGCCTTTATATTATCAACAGCATTATTATTTAAATTATGATTAAATTACCTTGGTCACTGGTGAACGAGAGAGAAGCTTGATTGAAGGATAATGTTTGATTGTCAGATCTCAGGTTGTGTCAATAAGAATGCTAGTAAGAAAGAGGAAATAGTCTATCATATAAACTATCATATAAAATAGTCTATCATATAAGCAAATTGGATTTCTCTGTCATTATGTGGATATAATATGGCAATTTTACTATAAAAATACTGATGTTTACTACAAAAGAAAGCAGAGAAATGAGGAAATATAGGGTGGGGGAAGGTAATTTATAAAAGATGGACACTGTTACAGAATGGAAATGTTAATGAAAATGATCCTATAGAGTTGAGGAAAATTAATGAGAAACAGAAAAAAGAAGAGTTGTAGGAACAAAATCTTTGTGTAAGCAAGAATGAACTGAAACCAGGAGAACAAATGGTTCATCCACGATCGTGGGAGGAAGGCAGGGTATTTGGGTATAGATGCAGGTAGGTTGGTGTAGTAGTGAGCCATGTGGAAGTCTGGTTTTTGCTTGCTCTATTTCCCAGTGAAATAGGAAGCAAGATCATCAGATGAGAGTAAGAAGAGAGAGAAGTTTTAGGTTTGAATGAGATATATTGATGGGGTAACTAATGGAATGTAAATATACTGACTCATGAATTTTAATTTTTATTTGACTCTCCCAATTTCAATATTACAGTGGCCAGGACAACCAAAAAAGGGTTATTCTCTCATATTAAATTAATACTGAAGACGGAGTAATTTTGACAAGCTGGATAGCCTTTTTCTACAGTTTACTGTGTGACTCTAGTCAGATCAGAACAAAGTCTAGGTAACATGCTCAAATGGAATCTTGGTAGGTTAAGAATTATATACCATGTTTTTCTAGTTAGTATGGTGGAAGATGCACTTCAGGAAGACCCAAGTAGATCTATTTATATGAGT